CAGAGTCTGGTGGAGCCACTGAGACTATGGCCCCTAGCTGCCCTTCAGGTCTGGAATTGAACCCACACCTGTGGCTTTGAGCCAAACAGAAGATAGGCATATGAGTTGAACATTTACCTGAGGTAGATAACACTCCTTGGAGAGAACAATCATGGGAGAAAGAAGGACCGCATACACACAGGGAGACAGCTCAGAGGGCAGGAGTGCATGGAGGGATGGACACAGGGAAGAGGTAACTATTGGGAAGAAGTGGGAGGGGAGCTGCTGCACTGTGGTAAATTGTGGTCCATGTCATGAGACAAAGTGTATGTGAACTGCGGTATGGAAAGTGAATTTGCTCTGTAAATTTTCACCCAAATCACAATTTAAAAAAAAAAAGGGCATCCTTGTCTAGTTCCCATTCTCAAGGGGAATACTTTCAATCTTTCTCTGCTGACAATAAGTTTGCCCACTGGTGTTGTATATCTGCCCTTAATTATGTTAAGAAATTTCTGTTCTATTTCTATTTTACTGAGTTTTTTTTAATTATGAAAGGGTGCTGGATTTTATCAAATGCTTTTTCTGTGTCAAATGATATGATCATGTAATTCCTTTATTTTTTTATGTGGTGGATTATGTTGCTTGTGCTCACTTCGTGTCTGTGGGTCACATTTTGGTAATTCTAACAACATTTCAAACTTTTTCCTAATTCTATTGCACATGTAACAGACTATAGTATTGTGTGACCATAACTTTTGCTTTTGGAAAGTTGAACCATCCTTGCTTACCTGCTGTGAAACCCATTTGGTTATAATGTATTACTTCCTTTAATATGGTGTTGGATTTATTGACTGGATTTTGTTGAGAATTTCTGCATCTATATTCATGAGGGATACTGGTCTATAACTTTCTTTTTCAGTAATGTCATTGCCTGGATCTGGTATCAGAGCTATGCTAGCTTCATACAATGAATTGAAGAGTACTCCATCTTTTCTGTGTTCTGGCATAGTTTGAGTAATAATGGTGTCAGCTCTTCTCTGAATGTTTGGTAGTATTCTCCAGTGAAGTCAGGGTTTTTTGTTGTTGTTGGGAGTTTTTTTTTTTTTTTTTTTTTTTTAAATAACTTCTTCTTTATTATGGATCTGTTCAAATTTTCCACCTCCACTTGAGACAGTTTAGGTAGGCAATAAAATTCCAGAAATTTATCTGTTTCTTCTAGGTTTTCCAATTTGCTGCAGTACAGTTCTTCATGGTATTATTATTTTTTTAATTTCAGCTGGTTCTGTATTACTATCACCCATCTCATTTCTGATCTATGTTATCTGCATTTCTCCCTCTTTTCCTTTGTTAATTTGGCCAGTGGTTTTTCAATTTTATTAATTCATTCAAAGAACCAACTTCTAGTCTTGTTGACTCTTTCTACTGTTCTTCTATTTCACGTCTGCTATAATCTTTATTAGGAGCTCTGGTAACCTAGTGCCTAAGGCACTTGACTGCTAACCAGAAGGCTGACGGTTCAAACCCACCAGCTACTCCTCAGAAGGAAGGTTGAGCAATCTACTTCCATAGTGATACTGCCTCGGAAACCCAAAGAGGGGTCGCTATGAGTCGGATCCGACTTGACGGCACATAACAACAACAACATAATCTTTATTATTTCTCCTTTTCCTTTCTTTTGGGGACTGTGGGCTTCATCTTCGTCTTCTTCTTTTTTTTTTTTTTTTCTGCCACTCTGTTTGTTGGAGTTGTATGGTGAAGGTGCTGATTTTGGCTCTTTCTCCTTTTTGATGTGTTTATTGCTATAAACTGACCTCTGAACGATGTTTTTGCTGTGCCCCAAAGGTTTTAGTATGTTATGTTTCCATTCTTGTTGGAGTCTGTAATTTTTTATTTCTTCTATACTCAGTGGTTTTTAAGCAGGGTGCTATTCTGTTTCCATGTTTTTAATTTGTTTTTCCAGTTATTGATTTCTAACTTTATAGCATTAAGATCTGAGAAGATACTTTGTATTATTTTCATGATTTTGAATTTATTGATGGTTGCTTTGTGGCCTAATATACGGTCTATTCTGGAGAACGATTCATGTGCCCTGGAAAAGAATGTGTACTATATGCTGTTATTGTGTGTTGTGTTCTGTAGACATCTATGAGATCAAGTTGGTTGGTTGTGTTGTTTTGCTCTTCCATACCTTTTGTGAGTTTTTTATAGCTTTTCTGTCTTCCAAAGTCTCCCAATAGTATTGTGGACTTGTCTATTTCTCTTTTCAACTCTGTTAAAGTTTGTTTTATGTATTTTGGAGCTTGTAGATATGGTTATGCCCTCTCGTTGGACTGATACTTTAATCATTATATATAATGCTCTTCCTTGTCTCTTATCTTGTTTTTGCTTTAAAGTCTATTTTATCAGAGATTAATATTGCCACTCCTGATCATTTTCAGTTGTTTGCTTGATATATTTTTTCCTGCCTTCAATTTTTAGTTTATTTTTTATCTTTATATCTAAGGTGTGCCTCATGCAGACAGCATATTGATGGGTCATGTTTTCTGATCCATTCTGCTACTCTCTCTTGACTGGTGCATTTAATTCATTTATATTTAATGTAATTATTGGTAGGTATGAATTTACTGTTGCCATTTTGCTGGACCTTTCTGTTTTTTGGTCATGTTGATGGGTTCTTTGTTCATTACCTTTTTCTATGCTGAGTTATTTTGTTTATGGACTTTCTTATTATTTCCTTCTTTATGATTTTCTTCTTTTCTACTTTGGTGAGAAAGTTTATTAACTTTGTTTGGTGTTATCCTGTAATTTACTATTATCTTCACAAGTTTAAAACAGCCTGTTCTATCCTGATACCCTCTTATCAACATATGGAAGTTCTGGAACTAAGTCAATAATTCCCTCTTTTTGTTTTGTAGAAATCACTGTTTATAAATTGGTTATTTCTGGTTTCCTATTTTCAGTCTTAAGGGTTTATTTTATTTTTGATACTTCTGTATCTCAGTTGATTTCCAGGTGACGGTGCCTTGTGTCTTAATCTCTGGTTTTTGTCTGCTGTTATTGGTTCTTTGCCGAAGGACTCCCTTTGGCATTTCTTGTAAAGTTGGTCTAGTTTTTATAAATTTCCTTAATTTCTGTTTATCTGAGAATGTCCTAATTTCACCATGGTATTTGAGGGACAATTTTTCTGGATATGTAATTCCTGGATGGTGATTTTTTTTCTTTCAGGGTTTTATATATGTCATCCCATTTCCTTCATGGTTTTTGCGAAGAAATTAGAGAGCTTAGTCTTAGTGGTTCCCCTTTGTAGGTAATATTTTGTTTTTCCTGAGCTGCTCTAAGGATTCTTTATCTGTGGTTTTGCAATTTGATTATGATATGTCTTGGTGATTTTCTTTTGGAGGTCTATCCTATTTTGGGTTCTGGGTTCGTTGAGCTTCTTGGATGGGTATCTTTGAAAATTTTGTGGGGTTTTATTGATTTATTTTTTTGGTCCCTTCCTGTTCTGGAATTCCAATCACATGTAAATTATTCCTCTTGCCAATTTAACTCACATAACCTTTAGGGTTTCTTCACTTTCCTTCATTTTTTTTTTCCTGATTGTTCCTCTAACAAATTAGCATTCAAGAGCCTTTGATGATTCTAAATTCCACTGATTCAATTGTACTTTGTCCATCCAATTCTTTATCTATTTCTGAAATTTCAGTGTTAATCTTCTAGAATAGTTGCTGTTCTTGTATGGCTTTTAATTGTTTAGTTTCTCAAAAAAAATTTAACTTGTTAAAAGTAGAAACATATACTTAGTGGAATTTCATAAAAGGGCGGTTAGTAAAAAATTCTTATATAAATTATTGTAATTTCTATTCCTTTTTCTAAAGTTATAGTTTCTATTAGGGAGTCCAGGAAAATTTTCAGACATACTAGAAAAATAAGTACTTTCACAAACTGTAAAAAATATCACAAACATATAAGTAACATAGGGAAAAAACCTGTTAAGTAGCATTGAAGTTTCAATCACAAAGATTAGAAAGACTATTTGGATAACTTAAATAAATAATATCCCCAGTATCTTATCAAATATAATGATAAGAAGAATTCTTATCTTTACTGGAACAATTCCAGTGGGTAAAAGAACTGAATTCAGCAGACTTCCACTGTGTGTAAAACATTTGCCAAATCAGATGATGAGGATATAAAATAAGTTAACTAATCATCTCTGTTCCCAGAGCTTATGAGGTAGTCAAAAAGGCAACCATACAATTAACTATCAAACAATGTAGTTAAGTGTTGTTTTAGTAGTTTGACCTATAAAAATTGCTTTCATCCATCAGTATTTTTCCCTCTAAAGTTTTATTTTAGTCCTACACTCTCATCAAGTCATGCCCACCCTGATGGACCAACAGCAGCAATTTTAGGATGGCTAGCTATGGAAGAGTTATCGTGCTCATCTGCCCTTGTTAGGACTTATAACTCTGGGCACATTTAGCATTACGATCTAAGCAATGAATACTAATGATCAATACTATCTTAAATTTAAATATCAATTTGAATATAAACATTTAAATTTCATTCACTTATCATCTCTGTAACTAATCAGGACTATTTTACAACTACTACTTAAAAAAAAAAAAAATACCATCTCGGAAACCCAAGGAGGGGTCACTATGAGTTGGATCTGACTCGACAGAAGTGAGTTTGGGGGTTTTTTGGGGAAAAAAGTAAATAATAAAATGTTTACTTCCTGAAAACACAAGAAAACATTTTTTTTTTTTATTTAAGAAAAAATAGTAAAGATAGCTCTTACAAAAATTTCTCTTTTTGTTTATCTTTCTATAACCAGGACTATAATTTTTTTAAATTTGATCTTTAAAAAAAAGGCAATGAAAATAAATTTCGGAGGCACCATATTTAAATTAATGCATTAGGTTTTTTTTTTTTAATTTAAAAAATAAAACTCCTAAAAACTGAAGTACCAAACTTATAATCTGAAAACAAGTGTTAGTCATGCACCACATTGTTCTTACTTTGTCTATTCTTAATGGAAGCTAATTCTTCTAGTACGGTCTGGTCTGTAGATCTGGCAAAGGCCTCTGCTGTGGCACAGTACCCATGGTGGACTAAATAAGATGAAACCATTCTAAAAATAAAAAGAAGAAACACATCTTTTAGTCAAATGAATACATTTTTATACTACAATTTATATAAACAAGGTCTACTCTGGTATTACAAAATCAACCTATTTCCTTAAAACAATGAAGGCTTTAAAAATTTCAACTTTAAAGTTAAGTCCATAATACCACTTTATTCTATTCATGTAGTATTCCTAAAAAGACATTTCAAATGTTATGTTGAGACTACTCTTCCTGAAATAAATATTACTAATAAAAAGTAGCAAGAGCATTAAATGACCCTTTCTTTGACCTTTGGCACCCTATTTATTGTTATCCTTATACTCAATCCCACTAACCATTATTTGTTTCACTCTTAATATATGAGTTACTCCAGTAAAGTACTGGCATTTTGTAAAAGAAAATAATTTAAAAATAACAGATTAACTCTTTGTGTTCCATTGTTCAACCACTTTCTTTACCACTCAAATGAGATGTTACCGTAAGGTATAAACAGAAGGAATATTAAAGTAAACCCAGAGAGAGAATCTTCCTGAGCAAAGTCGATCAGGGTGATAATACTAACCAATGAAGACTCAATCTTCTAATCTATATCAATTAGTATGGTTTGACACAGGTGGTTAATTACTGAAATACGATAATACACGTAAGTGGCACTTACACTTCCAGAGGAAAATTTTATTTTTTAAAAAGCCACCAAGTCGTCAAAACACAAAATGTAATTAGAAAAACTATTGATCCAACAATTTCTAACCTAAATTCCAATATATTCAAATATTCAACTCAAACCAGGCTTAAGTTAGAACCTACAGTTAGAAAATGACAGGAAACAGTGGGCCTGGAGGTGTTGTCAAAGGGAGAATGGGGAAAAAAAATCTTTTAAGGAACAGGTATTTCATCCACTGCTCAAATTAAATTAAGGGATAGGGAAAGGCATTCTTTTAGAATGGACTTTCCAGGAGCTCACAATGAGTAAAAATTCTGTGGCAAACAGGGTAGTGGTGGGAGGAAGTTCTCACTGAACTCCAGCAACAGGGTTAAGATAAATAATGTTTCTCTACTACCATCCTGCCGCAAAATGCTCAGGGGCAACCAGTTTTACAGTATTAAGAGGATGTGGCCCCAGAAGAAGAACCCATCCTAGCTCTAACTCATGGTAACTATGGTGCTGTCTTTCAATTGCTCTGGACAAAGACATTAGTGTCAAGCCTCTAGATAAAGAAGCCTCTTGGGAAAATGCATGTTTTCAGACTCATCGTGTCTTCCAATCACTTTGTACTCCAAAAACACACAAAAAATGTTATTTATATTAGATTTTTAAGTTTAAGAAAGTTACAAACAATTATATAGACATTTAAGATAAGCTATCCTGGATAGATGGTATCTGAAAGCCTTTGCTATTTTCTTAGGCTAAAATGGAATACTGAACATGACTTTTAAAACTTAATGATATTTATTTTTTAGGTCTATACTGCTTCAAGCTTTAACAGTTATCATGTAATACTAATGACATTGCCTTTCAGCAAAGGTACAGTCTAAAAAGTTGACTGTTGTGTAGAAATTACATTTTCTTGCTGGCTTCTATAATGAAATTCTACTTTAAAGGAAAGAAGTACCCTAATAAAACAGGTGGAAAAATTTTGGTAAAATAGAAATCTAGGCAATTTTATCTTAGCATCTAATACTTTTCATTTTATAGTACTTTTATTTGACCCACATTTTTGGTTTTACTGCTGGCCATCCTCCATCATTATTATCACTGAATCCTAAGTATTTAAGCTGCATTTAGGAATCCTAGTTCCACATTCATTGCTCTTTGATCTTCTTTCCTTTTACCTTATCTTAAAAATCTATTAATAACATAGATAAGTGGTATTAAAATTAATTAGCAAGGTTTTAAAAAGTACTTTACCTGGAGGCTTTGGGTCAGATTTTCTTACTTAGAAAGAAGGCAATTATAATCTCCCTGAATCTACATGCTACATGTATAAGTATTTAGCAAAAGGGGTATACTACCAAACAAAAGTCCCTGGGTGGCAAAAAACAGTTAAGTATTTGACTAATAACCAAAAGGCTGGCAGTTCAAATCCACCCAGAGATGCCTCGGAAGACAACCCTGGTGATCTGCTTCTGAAAGATTACGCCTTTGAAAACCCTATGGAGCAGATCTACTCTGCACAATGTGGTCGACATGACTTGGAGTTGACTCGATGGCAACTAACAACAACAAGTAAATGGAAAGTTGGTATTATTCTTAGAGTAACTCACTCATTGGAAAATTCTGAAACACAAAAGGTACATGTCAAGCTTGTATTCTAATACATAAGATATACCATTATATTGATGCTTACTCATCACAATTTTTCTCATAAATATTTGAACTACTGCTGAACTAACTACACAGCCAAGTTCCTGTACAAAATCACAGATTTTGAATTGTACAATCCAGACTATCTCTGTGAATTTATCTTTTTCAAAATTAAAAGTTGAATCACATAACCTATGGAAATTACTAAATCCTATTACTAAGGATGGCAAATGAATTAACCTAACCATCCTAGTGTCACTTTATATCCTCCATCAAATTAATTAAGTCAGATTGAACTACACTTCTTTATGTGCAGCTCCAAATCAAACATTATTTTTAATTTTTATAGAGTAAATGACTACTTGTAGAGAGATTTAATATAATCAGTAATACATTTAAATAGGATTTAAATTAATAGATTGAAAATAATACCAAAAGAATCAAATATTTTATAAAAAATATACTTCTAAATAGTATCAAGTCAAATTTCTTCACTCTTACTTTTGTATCATGGTCTGCCATTCCCCTTCTCGATCTCCAATAGGAAACCGGTCTATCTGTGCCTGGATTTTGGTTCTCCATTCACGCATGTAGTCCTCAATATCAAACACAAATGGATGTTGCCCAAAATTGGCATCAACTACTTCTCCTGGTGTCTGCAGCCCCACAGTAGGATACAGATTTGGCTGTAAAACAACATATTTCATTAAATGCCTAGCCCTTTGATGTTAAAGACATTCATTCTTTCAACTGCTATCTTTAAAAGAGAAGAACTGTAAGTTTATTTCATAACTATTTGAAAATCTCAAACCCTAAAACTCAAACCAAGGAACAAAATCCCATGAACCAAATCTCAGCAGCTACTCTTTTTTTTTTTTTTTTATCATTGTTATAAATGTATCTATTCTACAATTTTCGCCAATCCAGTTTTTAATAAGTATAAAACTTATTGATAGCAATTACATTAATTGGCCATGCAACCCTACCCTTAATCAATATAATTTTTCCATCATGGTAAACTGAAACTCAGTACGCCACAAATAATAACATCCCCACCTTTCTCCCTCTGTGGGTAACCACTAAGAAACTCTGGTCTCTATACGTTTATCTGTTCCTGTCTTTTTATATAAGTGGTATTTATCCTTTTATGACTGACATTTCATCCAGCATAATGTCTTCAAGCTGCATGAATACTGTAGCATATATCAAGACTTCATTTTTCCTACTGGGTGACTAGTACTCCATTGTATGTATGTACCACATTTTGTTTATCCATTCATCTGCTGATGAGCATTTAGGCTGTTTCCACTTTTTGGCTATTGTGAAAAGTGCTGCAATGAATGAACATTGGTATAGAAGCCTCCATTTGAATCTCCACTTTCAAGTCTTTTAGATATATACCAAGAAGTGGAATTGGTCATATGGTTGTCCTATTTTTAGTTTTTTTGCAGATCTGTCATACTATTTCCCACAACAGCTGGACCATTTTGCATTCCCACCAGCAATGGATAAGGGTTCCAATTTCCCTGCATCCTTACCAACGTTTGTTATTTTCTGTTTTTTCAATCTTAGCCATCCTAATGGGAGTGAAATTGTGGTTTTGAATTGTGTCTCTCTGATGGCTAATGTAGAAATTGCTCATTAAAGCTAGTTACTATAGAAGTACAACCCTTACTGGGCTTGTGTATTCTAAATTTACTATTTTCATCTACCTATATATTTGGAACACCTTTTAAAACAGAAGGTGATAAGAACTTAACTATAAGCAACACAGTGCCATTAACAGTGAGGATTCTCTATACAAAAACAAAAGATTCTAATAAATATGTTTCAAGAGAGGAAGAGGACTGATATGAATATTCACATTCATATATAAATGGAGTCAGATACACTCCAAGATTTCAAGGCTAAACAATCAAAGTATAAATTACAGCACCTTTGAGTATACAAAAAATGTAAGAGTTCTTCTGTTGGCTCAATCATTAACTAGTTGATGCATCTGAAGGGGAATTAGTAACTAAGTGTCTACTAAATGCCAAGGGTTTAATCATGATAATCCTGTGAGGTATCTATTTTTCCCATTACAAAGCTGGAGAAACTGAGAATTAGGGGTTAAGTACATGGTCACCTTGCTATTAAGTGACAGAAGTGGGATGAGAACACAGGTTTGTCTGACACTGAGTCCTAAACTGAATTTTATTTTCTGTAATTTCAAATCTACCACATCTTCATTCTCTGTATTTATGTCTTATTTATTTTCTTGAATGATTATCACAAGTATTCATAGTACAAACTAGTTAAAGATTAAGAGTGAATAATTTGTGTATGAATATAAGAAGTTTAAATAGAGTTCACAGCAAAAGGCTAAGAGGACATGTTTAAAAACAACTCATTAACGAAACAACAACAAAAAATCAGAAACAAAAGGAATACTGTGTCAAAATGTCAAGAACTAAAAGATCGCTTAAAGCAAAATATACAAATACACCGATGCTTAATAATCGAGAATTATCAAATTCATAGGATTTTAAGCCAAAGAGAGATGAATACTTAGTACAACCTTCTCATTTTACCAACAAGAAAACCAACAAGTGGCAATAATATGTAGGCAATTTGCAGAAGAAATATAAAATGACAATAAACCTCACTCAGTTTTTAGAAATGCAATTTAAAATAAGATTTTTTTTTACAAACCAGATTAATATTTAAAAGATTGAGAATACCCAGTATTGACCAGAATTGAGAAAATAAGCCCTCTCATTCACTAAATGCAGAAATGTTAACTGATGTAAACTTTTAAGAACAAACTTTGGCAAAATCCATTAAAATTGACAAAGTTATTTCACTTGTAGGAATATATCCTACAGAAAAACAAACATGTGCATCCTGTAGTATTATCTGTAATGGCAAAAATGAAAAAGAATGCCCATCAATAAGTGATATTATTATCACAGCCATCAAATCTAAGATCCTAATAATTATACACAATTATTTTATCTAAGAAAAAACAATGCCAACTGAACTCTGATAGGCTATATAGATGCATCTCCATTTCAGAAATGATAAAATATGAAAAAATATACATCTCTTAAATGATGAACTGTGGCAGTATACTCATAAAATAAGGTATTATAAAACTGGCCCCCCCAAAAAAAAATTTGCATACCGATACAGAGAGATGTCCAAAGATTGAAAAAAAAAAACCAAAATTAAGTGATAATGTATATACCATGATCTCATCATCTTTTTTCTAAACATTCAAATAAGGGACTTAATGGCTTACACATGTTTGGAAACAGATCAGGAAAGATATACACTCAAGTTAAAATAGTCATATCTAAATAAGCTGAAATTATGAGGAAATTCTCTATTGTATATTTCTGTATTTATAAACATTTGCTTATATGAACATTTAACATATATTCCTTCTATAATCAGAAATAAAAAAAATTTGAATTAATATTAAGTCAATTTTGGCTTGCTGGAAAGTAATTAACTATATTTTTTATACCATTTACTCAACCTTAAAAATGGAGAATTTTGGGGAAGAGAATTAAAGGACATAGCCAGCCCTTAATTTGCTATATTACAGATTTTATTTTAATACAAAAGCCTTTTAAAATGTACAATTCTTTGGCTTTTTCTATACTCACAGAGCTTTGCAACCATCATCACTATCTAATTTTAGAATATTGTCTTCACTCCAAAAAGAAACCCTGTAACCCACTGGCAACCACACACCACTCCCCCAGCCTCTGACAACCTCTAATCTACTTTCTGACTCTGGGTTTGCTTATTCTGGACATTTTGTAAAAATGGAATCATGCATCATGTTGTCTTCAGTGACTGGCTTCTTTCATGTAGTTTAATGTTTTCAAAGATAACACTTTGATGACTAAGGTACAACTGACCTAAGCCACAGTATTTTCAACTGCCTCATATACATGTGAAACCTGGACAATGAAAAAGGAAGACTCAGGAAGTGACATATTTGAACTGTGGTGTTGGTGAAGAATACTGAATACACCATGGACTGCCAGAAAAAGGAAAGTATCAGTCTTGGAGAAAGAACAACCAGAATGCTCCTTGGAAGAGAAGACAGAAAGACTTTGTCTCGTTTACTCTTGACATGTCATCAGAAGGAATCAATTGTTGGAGATGGGCATCACGCTTGATAAAGTTGGTCAGTAAAAAAGAAGGAAGCTCTCAATGAGATAGATTGACACAGTGGCTGCAGCAATGTGAGGATGGTGCAAAACCAGACATTTCACTGTTGTACATAAGGATGTTATATGATTCAGAGCTGACTGAACAGCACCTAACAAGGTTTTCAAGATTTATCTCTGTTTTATCAAGTACATAGATTAAGATTCATATGAAATAGTTTTCCTGGAAAATGTTTCTAAGTTAAAAAAAAAAAAAAAATTACTGCTGCCTATGTAGAATTAGAGAGAAGAGTAATTTAATTCTTTATGAAAAAAAATAAACCAGACCTCTTCATTTCTATTGACCTATGAAAGATAAAGAACTACATTAAAAAGACCTTTAATTTAGAAACTGCTCCAAAAGCTAAATGAATATAATTAAAAATTTGTATTCTCAAAGAACTAGATGCCAGCTACTACTACCAACCACTCTGAAAGGGGTCAAAATTGGAAATCCTGGATGGAGGGAGAAAACTCAAACAAAACTCATAATCATTTAAACAAACAAACAGCCTTACTGGTCTGATAAGAGATTGGTGGAACCTCCAAGACTATGGCCCTTAGTCACCCTTTGGGCCTGGAACTGAACTTATTTCCATAGCTCGACTTTCATCCAAACAATAGACAGACCTATGAGGTGAACAGTAACACCAGAGAGATAAGCCTTTCTTAGAACAACCAACCATAAGAGATCAAAAGGGCAGCATTTGCCCAGGGATAAAGCTCGGAAGGCAGGAAGATAGAAAAGAAAGACAAAGGGAAATGGTAACCATAGGGAGGAAGTGGAAAGAGTACTGTTCAAACGTGGGGATTGCGATCAAAGTCACAAAACAAAGCATCTATGAACTGCTGACTAGAAAGCCAATTTGCTCTATAAAGTTCCACTCAAATCACAAAAAGTTAAAAATAAATCAAATGCAGTTAGTTTTTTAAACATCATATTCCCAAAGCAAAGTTTTGTTTTATAAATATAAAAAGATTTCTTCTGAAGAAAATGGAATCCTACCTATACCTATAAAAAGTAGATTTCAAGTCAGCCTTAAAAACTGAAAAGCAGTATCATTTTAAATAAAAACCTCTACTGTCAAAAAAAAGAATTTACCTAATCCTAAACAGAATTAGTCTATAGATAAAGACATTTCTAAAACAGGTGAGATAAGTTGGGCAAGAAAGAGATTTTTGGAAAAAGATCTAAGGCTTTCAGAGTTGTATAAATACCCTAAGACTGCTCCATAACAGCTGTGGTACAGTCTAGGTAAACTGATTTTTCTGCACCTCTTCCAGGATTCAACGCTGCAACTGGCTAGTGAGGGATCACTGATACAGAAGCAATACATTAAGAAAAAACTTATAACTACCACTATGGCAACTATCTTATCTACTATTGCAAAGCTGAACATCACCATTGGTTAATTATAAACCAAACCCAACCCACTGCCGTTGAATCAATTCCGACTCATTTTGACCCTGTGGGACAGAGT